TGAGAAGTACATTTGAGAAAGGAAACACGTAAACATCATGTACATTTGAGAAAGGAAACAGGTACAGTGTTCTCCCCAGGAGTTTTGGATAGCACCAGGGTAACGCGTGTGGACAGCTTGGTGAAATGATTCATACAATCAGTTGTGTTGCGTTGCGTTGCTTAGCTATATTTCTAGTTACTGCAGTATGTCTCTTGTTTTGTTTTAACATTGTGGTACTGTGTTATGTAGACATTGAATCAGAAAATTATTGGTAAAAAAAGAAGTAAATCAATAAACAGTTTGTATACTCTAATATTTTTTTTAAATAAATAAAACATGATTCATTTACAAAATATTCATCTTAATTTAAAGTAATCAATTCTTTTATAAAATCCATGATCAATAAAAATGAAATATCATTCAAAAGACCAAAAATGTTCAATTTAAAATTTTTTTATAGTTTCTAGAAAGAAAGTTGTTGTATGTGAAAGGATTCTTGTCATAAAGAGATATAAAATAACAAGAACAAATATTGATTTATTGTTTGAACCAGTTTCTATCTTAAATTAAAAAAAAAATTTTTTTTCATAAATTTAAAAACATTTTGTCATAGATTTCATGTAAATATTAACCTTTCTTGTCTTTGGTGATAATCAAACATTGATACAGACTTAATACTGCACTGAAATCTAAATCTTTATTTGTCATGATCCATTTAAAAAGAATTCCTAAATCTATAAATTTATCTTAGGTATTCAATGTCAACAACAAAGTCTCCCTATTTTTCCCGCCTAAATGACAGGAAGTAGATATAAATAGATTTAACATGTGCTCATGGATAAAATTTGCAAGATTACTTCTGTTATTCATTAATTGTGGATATAGATATCCAGTTTGAAGGTACAGTCATACATTTTATTTATTAAATAGAATAAATTGCAATTAATTGCAAACACACTTTAATATTCTACGTGAACTAACTGGGTCATGTGATATGTACATATATCCGTCCCCTTCACAGATACTATAGTTTGAAACCCAATATCATGCACTTACTATGTCATAATTAAAGAAAATTTTGGCCATGGTTTAATCAGACATATTATACTATACTAATGAGCTAACTTTATTATGTACAAAAAATGTACAGGCGTGTGTGCAACTATCGGGTTCACACTGTTTGTGTACAAAGTATTTGCAGACTTGTCACAGGTCAGCGCTTGGGTTGTGAGTGAAGCCATAAAATAGTTATCAGTGATCATAAAGTTATGAACTCCTAATTAAAACACAAAAGAATAATGTAACAAGTTATAATTACATGGATTAAATCCAATCAACAAGGTTAACCTCATAAGGTAAATCGATCACGTGGTGTCAACAATCTGGGTAAACTGGTTTGAACTGGTCAAATTTCACCAGGAATTTTATACCGCACGGAAAAGATTAAACAAATCGCTTAAAACTTTACCGATTTACAATTTTTTTACTGAAAATTTAAGCACCACGGTCAAAAATTATACATCGCGGGCCCGCGGTCCTTTAAGGGCCTGGGGAGAACACTGAGGTAAACATCATGTACATTTGAGAAAGAAAACAGGTAAACATCATGTACATTTGAGAAAGGAAATAGGTAAACATCATGTACATTTGAGAAGTACATTTGAGAAAGGAAACAGGTAAACATCATGTACATTTGAGAAAGGAAACAGGTAAACATCATGTACATTTGAGAAGTACATTTGAGAAAGGAAATAGGTAAACATCATGTACATTTGAGAAAGGAAATAAGTAAACATCATGTACATTTGAGAAAGGAAATAGGTAAACATCATGTACATTTGAGAAAGGAAACAGGTAAACATCATGTACATTTGAGAAAGGAAATCAGTAAACATCATGTACATTTGAGAAGTACATTTGAGAAAGGAAACACGTAAACATCATGTACATTTGAGAAAGGAAACAGGTACAGTGTTCTCCCCAGGAGTTTTGGATAGCACCAGGGTAACGCGTGTGGACAGCTTGGTGAAATGATTCATACAATCAGTTGTGTTGCGTTGCGTTGCTTAGCTATATTTCTAGTTACTGCAGTATGTCTCTTGTTTTGTTTTAACATTGTGGTACTGTGTTATGTAGACATTGAATCAGAAAATTATTGGTAAAAAAAGAAGTAAATCAATAAACAGTTTGTATACTCTAATATTTTTTTTAAATAAATAAAACATGATTCATTTACAAAATATTCATCTTAATTTAAAGTAATCAATTCTTTTATAAAATCCATGATCAATAAAAATGAAATATCATTCAAAAGACCAAAAATGTTCAATTTAAAATTTTTTTATAGTTTCTAGAAAGAAAGTTGTTGTATGTGAAAGGATTCTTGTCATAAAGAGATATAAAATAACAAGAACAAATATTGATTTATTGTTTGAACCAGTTTCTATCTTAAATTAAAAAAAAATTTTTTTTTCATAAATTTAAAAACATTTTGTCATAGATTTCATGTAAATATTAACCTTTCTTGTCTTTGGTGATAATCAAACATTGATACAGACTTAATACTGCACTGAAATCTAAATCTTTATTTGTCATGATCCATTTAAAAAGAATTCCTAAATCTATAAATTTATCTTAGGTATTCAATGTCAACAACAAAGTCTCCCTATTTTTCCCGCCTAAATGACAGGAAGTAGATATAAATAGATTTAACATGTGCTCATGGATAAAATTTGCAAGATTACTTCTGTTATTCATTAATTGTGGATATAGATATCCAGTTTGAAGGTACAGTCATACATTTTATTTATTAAATAGAATAAATTGCAATTAATTGCAAACACACTTTAATATTCTACGTGAACTAACTGGGTCATGTGATATGTACATATATCCGTCCCCTTCACAGATACTATAGTTTGAAACCCAATATCATGCACTTACTATGTCATAATTAAAGAAAATTTTGGCCATGGTTTAATCAGACATATTATACTATACTAATGAGCTAACTTTATTATGTACAAAAAATGTACAGGCGTGTGTGCAACTATCGGGTTCACACTGTTTGTGTACAAAGTATTTGCAGACTTGTCACAGGTCAGCGCTTGGGTTGTGAGTGAAGCCATAAAATAGTTATCAGTGATCATAAAGTTATGAACTCCTAATTAAAACACAAAAGAATTTTTTTACTGAAAATTTAAGCACCACGGTCAAAAATTATACATCGCGGGCCCGCGGTCCTTTAAGGGCCTGGGGAGAACACTGAGGTAAACATCATGTACATTTGAGAAAGAAAACAGGTAAACATCATGTACATTTGAGAAAGGAAATAGGTAAACATCATGTACATTTGAGAAGTACATTTGAGAAACGAAACAGGTAAACATCATGTACATTTGAGAAGTACATTTGAGAAAGGAAATAGGTAAACATCATGTACATTTGAGAAAGGAAATAAGTAAACATCATGTACATTTGAGAAAGGAAATAGGTAAACATCATATACATTTGAGAAAGGAAACAGGTAAACATCATGTACATTAGAGAAAGGAAATAGGTAAACATCATGTACATTTGAGAAAGGAAATAGGTATACATCATGTACATTTGAGAAAGGAAATAGGTATACATCATGTACATTTGAGAAAGGAAATAGGTAAACATCATGTACATTTGAGAAAGGAAATAGGTAAACATCATGTACATTTGAGAAAGGAAATAGGTAAACATCATGTACATTTGAGAAAGGAAACAGGTAAACATCATGTACATTTGAGAAAGGAAACAGGTAAACATCATGTACATTTGAGAAAGGAAATCAGTAAACATCATGTACATTAGAGAAAGGAAATAGGTAAACATCATGTACATTTGAGAAAGGAAATAGGTAAACATCATGTACATTTGAGAAAGGAAACAGGTATACATCATGTACATTTGAGAAACTAAATAGGAAAATATCATGTACATTTAAAAAATTCGTAAGGGGTTCCGTGGAACCGTGTGTTTTACCTACGATTGCTGCTGTTAGTGTAAAAGTGTAATGTTGACTTAAAAAGTGAGTCCATTTATCAATAAAATACAGAATTTAAAAAAAATTAAACTGTCTCTTTAGATGCTGTTTCTTCGTCTTGAAGATTAGCTTCTGTCCACGTTTAATAACAATCCACAAAGGTTAACAAACTTATCATGTCAAAAAAATTAATCCCAGACTGTCTGTAAATGTTAACTGTAAAAAAAACTAAGTCCATCTATCAGAAAAATAATGAAAATGAAAATATATTTTCAAAAGTTTGCTTCAGACATTGCCTCTTAATCATGAAAAAGTTTCATAAAATTCTATAAAGGTTTGACAAAGTATTTGATGTGTAACAAACTTTAACCCCAGACTACATCTACTTGTTAAATGTAAAAAAAAAAATTAAGTCCATTTATCAGTAAAATACGGAAAAATGAAAATAAATATTTTCAAAATTTTGCTCTGGATACTGCATTTTGGTCATTAAAAAGCTTCTGTCCAAATTTCATAAAATTCCATGAAGGTTTGACAAATTTATTGATGACTGAAAAACTTTATCCACAGACTGAACCTAAATGTTGACGCTGCTGACACCGCCAGAATCTAGGATCGCTATGTCTCGCTTTTCGAACATAAATGTCGCAGGCTCGACACAAAAAGGAAATATTTACATTTCTATGGGACATAACTCCTGAAAAAATAATTGATCAGCGCTGATTTTATATGACATTGCTGATTTTATATGACATTGCTGATGTAAGCCTTCGATATAAATTTCAAAACAAATGAAGGCTTGAGAGCACTTACAATGTAATTTTCCAAATAACTTTATGATAAGGTCTTGATAACTTATATAAAAGATTACACACCATATATTCATAGTAACAAAGGAGATTTTAAAAAGATATATCATTATATTGTATTTTTTCCAAAGAAATGTTTAGTTTAGTTGTTAGTGTTTATTTTTATTATATGAATAGGTTGTGTATTTGAATACCTTGCAATCTTCCCATATCTCCTTCTTCTGTCTCACTCTCGGAAGTCATAGCTGTAGCCCCGGCAGCATTTGATGCTGGAAGAAAAGCAGGAAACTCATTTCGATACAATTAATTCAAATTATCAATTCTTCCAGGATAAAATATATTCATTTTATTTAGCGGACTATACCTTCTGGGTTTTTCTCATTGGTGAAGGCCGTAATGTTGCCTTTAATGGCTTACATCCACTTCATTTGAACTTTTGTGGATAGTTGTCTCATTGGCAATCATATCACATCTCCCTATTTTTATATTAACTGTTTTATTATTGTTTTTTATTCTCTTCTTAGAATTTCCTAATTTTATGCTACATCAGCATTTATAAAGGTAACTTACTATTTCAGAATAGATATGATCACTACAATAATTAATGGTTATACATGAATTTTTCTTGTAAACAGATGTGTAAAAATTAACTATTGTTTATAAAACAAGCATTCTGAGAGTATTGCATGGCAATACATAGTCCCTTACCGGATAAAAATTCATTATACTGGAACAAAATGCTAACTTGTTCTATAACTTGTCATGGTGTAAACAAAAAGTAAATATCATGTCAATATCTTCAAGCATGACTAAAAACAGTGTGGAAAACTGATTATATGTGTGAATTTTTCAAGTCCAAGGACCATAATTCTGCACAAAATTATTAGACCGAAACATAAGCATGATGAAAAAAACATCAGATATGATTAATAGTTCTCTAAAATTAGATTTGATGTAATACAGTGTATATCTATTTTCAAATTATAATCAAATATAATTAATAGTTTCAAATATTTTTTCTTTCATTTGTCACAAACTAATATAGATTTGTAACTTATCTATAAAATGTCAACAACTTTTATCTACACAATGTAATGTATTGAAATATATACATTAATAAAAATAGATTATTATCTAATTAAAGGATTTCTCTTCATAATTTTTTTTATATATATATAGCATTCAGAAAATTAGTTTATACTAAATAACAAACAAACCTGCCAAAGAATTCTTCAAATAATTTAACAAAGAATGTCTTTTAAAAAATGAGTTATCTCCCTTTGTACAGAAATATAGTTTAACATAGTACCCTAACATTAGATATGGTCCAGAGTTAAGATCCATAACTCTGGACTAAATCATCAGACTGGAACAAAATTCGAACTTATCTATAACTTGTCATGATAAAACTATATACCAAATATCAAATCAATATCTTCAAGAACGAAGAAAAAGTGTGGAAAGCTGATTTGCCAGACTGACCGATGGACAGACGGACGGAGTGCAAACCTAAAGTCCCCTTCGACTTCGTCGGTAGGGGACTAATAAATGGGGAATGTGTCCATGGGACACAGATGATGCCCCTGCTTGCATATTATATCAAGATATAAAGGGACATAACTGAAGAACGGTAAAAGTGAAGCAACCCAAATTTGTACTTGATTTGAGTTTTGTGATAATAAGTATTGTGTATAAGTTTCATAACATTTGGTTGAGGCAAACTTAAGTTAGAGAACAGAAGCGAAAAATTCAGCAATTTTTCCATTTGTAAAGGGGCATAGCTCTAGAACTTTTAAAGTGACGACACCAAAATTCAAACCTGATCTGTGTTTTGTGGTAATAAGCATTGTGCATAAGTTTCATAACATTTGGTTTAGGCGAACTAAAGTTAGAGAACGCTGCCTAAAAATTCAGCAATTTTTCCATCTATAAAGGGGCATAACTCTAGAAAGGTTAAAGTGATGCCACCAAAATTCAATCTTGATCTGTGTTTTGTGGTAATAAGCATTGTGTATAAGTTTCATAACAATTGGTAGAGGCAAACTAAAGTTAGAGAACGGAAACCAGCTTTGGGATGTACGGACGTACGTACATGTGTACGTACGTATGTACAGACAGACGTAAAGACGGACAAGGGTAAAACTTTAATAAAAAGGTAATAACTTCCAAATCTGTGTGTATGTATTATTTTAAGGAGTTTATTATGTTAATTAGTTTGTTGAATTTCAAGTGCAATAATATCTTCCTGTGAAGTTTCAGGGATCTGGGTTAAAAACTGTAGGAGTTGATTATACAAAACTCATACACACTTTTCTCTGAACACCCGCACAACCATCCACCTGCCCCACATTAAGATACTATAAGCCTGTTTTGGACAAACCAGCCAAAAATGCTAAGTTAGTTATCTTTTTGAATTGACATATTAAACCCATCGGCAACTGTTTGTTTTTTCAGTGTTTTTGAAAAAAATTACATTTTTGCATATCTTCGTTGGTAAAATATACACTTTTAGACATCTGAAAATTATCGAATGCTTTTAACATGGTTTGTTATTGACTGTAATTGAAGGTTATTGTTTCATCAATCTTGTGACCACAAAGGTTTACTGGAAGAAATCAATTATACTTACACATTGTATTCAGAATTAATAAATAAAGCAAAATAATTGTCAATGCCTTTTAGTGCTGAAACAATCTTACTTTCTTTCAAAAATAGACAAAAACTAGAGGCTCTAAAGAGCCTGTGTCGCTCACCTTGGTCTATGTGCATATTAAACAATGGACACAGATGGATTCATGACAAAATTGTGTTTTGGTGATGGTGATGAGTTTGTAGATCTTACTTTACTGAACATTCTTGCTCCTTACTATTATCTCTATCTATAATGAACTTGGCCCAGTAGTTACAGTGGAAAATATTTTGTAAAAATTTACAAAAATTTACAAAATTTATGAAAATTGTAAAAAATTGACTATAAAGGGCAATAACTCCTTAAGGGGTCAATTGACAATTTTGGTCATGTTGACTTATTTGTAGATCATACTTTGCTGAACATTATTGCTGTTTACAGTTTATCTCTATCTATAATAATATTCAAGATAATAACCAATAAAATGCTTCGCTGGGGCGCAGCTTGATACGACCGCAGAGGTCGAACCCTGAACAGTTGGCGCAAGTATGGACACAAAATTCAAGCTTGATACAGCTATGACTTTGGATTGTCATTAAATATTTGACACAGCATAGGTTTCTGACACAGGATGAATGTGGTGTAAGAACTGGAAAAAAATTAATTTACCTATTATGGTGGAATATCCATAAACTAAATTGTTTGTTAATTTCAATATATCAAAGAATATGTAGAATTCAATGTTTGATGTAATGTAATAAAGTTGAAATTTGGACCGTTTTTGTTCAATGTGAACCAATTTGGTAACATGTATAAATAATCAAAAATCTAAATACATGGGAGCCCATTTAAATACATCATAAAGGTATTAAAATAGAAAGTGACATCATAGTCATGGCTAAAAATAAACAAAAATCCTTAATCAGCAACATTTAAAGTAATATCTAAAAATAAAATTCCTTTGTAACCATAAAAGCCCATTTAAATACATCATAAAGATATTAAAATAGAAAATGACATCATAGTCATGGCTAAACATAGCAAAAAACCCTTAATCAGCATCATTTAACAGTAATATCTAAAAATGGAAATTACATCATAAAGGTATTAAAATAGAAAATGACATCATAGTCATGGCTAAAAATAAACAAAATCCGTAATCAGCATCAGCAACATTTTATAGTAATATCTAAAAATAAAATTCCTTTGTAACCATAAAAGCCCATTTAAATACATCATAACAGATATTAAATAGAAAATGACATCATAGTCATGGCTAAACATAGCAAAAACCTTAATCAGCATCATTTAACAGTAATATCTAAAAATAAAAATTTCTTTGCAACCATAAAAGTAAAATAGAAAATGACATCATAATCATAGCTAAAAATAAACAAAAATTTTTTTTATTGGCAAATTTTAAATGGAGTTTATTATACTAAAACAATAAATTTGCAACCATAAACATGATAAAACCCCATTTAAACACATCATAAAAGTATTAAATAATTCAACTACATCATAAGGCTATAAAAATAGAAAATGACTTCATAGTCAAGGCTAAAGGTAAACAAAAAACCTTCATCAGCAAAATTTTATATTGGCAAATTTCCAATGAAGTTTATTACACTAAAATTGTTGGCAAATTTCCAATGCATTTATTAACAATAAAGTTATTGGCAAATTTCCAATTTACATAATTTAAAAGCAGTGTAGATGAGATATTTAAATGAGTTTGAATTACCAACCTTACACTGCTTTTAAATAATGTTCTTTACTCAATTATTTGTCTATTAAAATGGAAACCCTTGTTTTTTAACCTTTTTTCCCCTTATTCCTTAAACCTTAGAGCCATAACCACCACACCACCCCCCCCCCCCCCCCCCCAACCCCCCCAAAGCCAATTATTACTTTCCAATGTAACCTAAATTTCCAATATACATAATTTTAAATTTCAGTTCCTCATGTTATATAACCGTATCATTAATATTTTCTTTCATATATAAATCTGAAACAACCATCTTTAAATGGAACATTTTAAAGAAAAAAAAAAAATCCTACCCCCCACACATTTTTTCAACCCCCTTTTGATTCATCATCCCCCACCTCAATCACAACCTTCAATTTGTGGTATGGTACATTGCAATACAATTTCACAGAGATCCATACACTTGAACACAAGTTTTTGTTGCAAACTAAAAAAATCCTTATTTTCGACCAATATTTGGCCCCTTATTCATAAATGTTTGAGCAATTAACCCCAAAACTCAATTCCTACTTTCTCTTCGTGATAAAAAATAACTAACTTAAAATGTAAATTTTAAACAAAAAAAAAAGGAAAAAAAAAATTACCCCTTTTTTGACCCCCGCCCCCCTTATGATTCATCACCCCCACCCCCTTTCCCCCCAAACCAAGCTCAATAACAGCATTGCCTTTGTGGTATGGTACCTTGTAATACAATTTTAGAGAGATCCATACACTTGAACACAAGTTATTGTCTAGAAACTAAAAAATGCTTATTTTAAACCCCTTTTTAGGCCCCTTATTACTAAACGTTTTGGGCAATTACCACAACACTCAATTCCAGCTTTCCCTTTGTGAAATGGAACCTTGTAGTAAAATTTCAGAAAGATCCATACACTTACACACAAGTTATTGTCATGAAACTAGAAAAATGCTTGTTTTTTGCCCCCTTTTGGCCCCTTATTCCTAAAATTTTGAGGCAATTAACCCCAAAATCAATCCCAGCATTGACCCTTAGTGATATGGAATCTTGTGGTACAATGTCAAAGAGATCCATATGCTAACACACAAGTTATGTCTGGAAGTTACAAAAATGCTTATTTTCGGCCCCTTTTTGGCCCCTAATTCCTTAACTGTTGGTACCATAACCCCTAAAATCAATCCCCACCTTCCTATTGTGGTATTGAACCTTATGGTAAAATTTCATAGAGACCCATTCACTTAAACTAAAGTTAGAGTGCGAAAACCATTGTGTATTCGGACGACGACGCCGGACGACGACGACAACGACGCCAACGTCATACCAATATACGACCTCAAAATTTTTTTGCGGTCGTATAAAAACAGCAAAATTTCCTTAAAATTACCAATTCAGGGGCAGCAACCCAACAACGGGTTGTCAGATTCATCTGAAAATTTCAGGGCAGATAGATCTTGACCTGATAAACAATTTTACCCCATGTCAGATTTGCTCTAAATGCTTTGGTTTCAGAGATATAAGCCAAAATCTACATTTTACCCCTATGTTCTATTTTTAGCCATGGCGGCCATCTTGGTTGGTTGGCGGGGTCATCGGACACATTTTTTAAACTATTTACCCCAATGATGATTGTGGCCAAGTTTGGTCAAATTTGGCCCAGTAGTTTCAGAGGAGAAGATTTTTGTAAAAGTTTACGGACGACGGACGACGGACGCAAAGTGATGAGAAAAGCTGACTTGACCTTTCAGGTCAGGTGAGCTAAAAACACAGATTTATTCTCAAAGTCATACAGAAGAAGATACACAAGAATATTTGGAAAAATTAGAACCATAAATTTCAATATGGGTCAATATCCCTAATGTGCCTCAAATTGAGGAACTCCTATACTATGTAAACAATAAAATGCTCCGCAGGGCGCAGCTTGATACGACCGCAGAGGTCGAACCCTGAACAGTTGGGGGAAGTATGGACACAATTTCAAGCTTGATACAGCTTTGGATTTGGATTGTGATTAAATATTTGACACAGCATAGGTTTCTAACACAGATTGAATGTGGTCTAAGAACTTAAAAATTTTAAATTGGACATTCACCTATTATGGTCCAATATCCAAAATCTAAATACATGGTTAGATTCAGCATATCAAAGAACCCCAAGAATTCAATTTTTGATGAAATCAAACAAAGTTTAATTTTGGACCCTTTTGACCTCAATGTGGACAAAGTTGATAACGGGGCCCAAAAATCAAAAATCTAAATTCATGGTTAGATTCAGCATATCAAAGAACCCCATATATTCAATTTTTGTTGAAATCAAACAAAGTTTAATTTTGGACCCCGATTTGGACCAACTTGAAAACTGGGCCCATAATCAAAAATCTAAATACATGTTTAGATTCAGCATATCAAAGAACCCTAAGAATTCAATTTTTGTTAAAATCAAACTAAGTTTAATTTTGGACCCTTTGGACCTTAATGTAGACCAATTTGAAAACGGAACCAAAAATTAAGAATCTAAATACACGGTTAGATTCGGCATATCAAAGAACCCCAATAATTCAATTTTTGATGAAATCAAACAAAGTTTAATTTTGGACCCTTTTGACCTCAATGTGGACAAAGTTGATAACGGGGCCCAAAAATCAAAAATCTAAATACATGGTTAGATTCAGCATATCAAAGAACCCCATATATTCAATTTTTGTTGAAATCAAACAAAGTTTAATTTTGGACCCCGATTTGGACCAACTTGAAAACTGGGCCCATAATCAAAAATCTAAATACATGTTTAGATTCAGCATATCAAAGAACCCTAAGAATTCAATTTTTGTTAAAATCAAACTAAGTTTAATTTTGGACCCTTTGGACCTTAATGTAGACCAATTTGAAAACGGAACCAAAAATTAAGAATCTAAATACACGGTTAGATTCGGCATATCAAAGAACCCCAATAATTCAATTTTTGATGAAATCAAACAAAGTTTAATTTTGGACCCTTTTGACCTCAATGTGGACAAAGTTGATAACGGGGCCCAAAAATCAAAAATCTAAATACATGGTTAGATTCAGCATATCAAAGAACCCCATATATTCAATTTTTGTTGAAATCAAACAAAGTTTAATTTTGGACCCCGATTTGGACCAACTTGAAAACTGGGCCCATAATCAAAAATCTAAATACATGTTTAGATTCAGCATATCAAAGAACCCTAAGAATTCAATTTTTGTTAAAATCAAACTAAGTTTAATTTTGGACCCTTTGGACCTTAATGTAGACCAATTTGAAAACGGAACCAAAAATTAAGAATCTAAATACACGGTTAGATTCGGCATATCAAAGAACCCCAATAATTCAATTTTTGATGAAATCAAACAAAGTTTAATTTTGGACCCTTTTGACCTCAATGTGGACAAAGTTGATAACGGGACCCAAAAATCAAAAATCTAAATACATGGTTAGATTCAGCATATCAAAGAACCCCATATATTCAATTTTTGTTGAAATCAAACAAAGTTTAATTTTGGACCCCGATTTGGACCAACTTGAAAACTGGGCCCATAATCAAAAATCTAAATACATGTTTAGATTCAGCATATCAAAGAACCCTAAGAATTCAATTTTTGTTAAAATCAAACTAAGTTTAATTTTGGACCCTTTGGACCTTAATGTAGACCAATTTGAAAACGGAACCAAAATTTAAGAATCTAAATACACAGTTAGATTCGGCATATCAAAGAACCCCAATAATTCAATTTTTGATGAAATCAAACAAAGTTTAATTTTGGACCCTTTGGACCTCAATGTGGACCAATTTAAAAACGGGGCCCAAAATCCAAAAACTAAATACACAGTTAGATTCAGCATATTAAAGAACCCCATGAAATCAAGAATAAAACCCCATTGAAATTGGTCAAGAAATAAGCAATTTATAGGAAGTATCTTCTTTTGCACAATCCTGTGCTATTAAATATTTCTTGCTATTGCGCAATACTGTACAATTGACAATTTCTTGCTATTGCGCAATATTGTGCTATTGGATATTTCTTGCTATTGCGCAATACTGTGCAATTGAAGATTTCTTGCTATTGCGCAATACTGTGCAATTGAAGATTTCTTGCTATTGTGCAATACTGTGCAATTGAAAATTTCTTGCTATTGCACAATACTTATTATATAATAATTTACACATCCTGTTTGGTGTGTATCTCCTACCATATCATTATTATTTGATTTTAAATATAAATCAGAAATAACCAACTTAAAATGGAAAATTTTAAAAGAAACAAAAAAGGAAAAAAAAATAAATCCCCCCCCCCAAAATTTTTTGAACCCCCATTATGATTAATCACCCCCAAACTCAATCCCAGCCTTCCCTTTGTAGTATGGTACCTTGCAGTACAATTTCAGAGAGATCCATACACTTGAACACAAGTTATTGTCTGGAAACTAGAAAAAAATGTGTTTTTTGGCCCCTTTTTGGCCCCAAATTCCTAAACGTTTAGGGCAATTACCCCCAAACTCAAACCCAGCTTTCCCTTTGTGATATGGAACCTTGTAGTACAATTTCAGAAAGATCCATACACTTACACACAAGTTATTGTCATGAAACTAGAAAAATGCTTGTTTTTTGCCCCTTTTTTGGCCCCTAATTCCTAAAATTTGGAGGCAATTACCCCCAAAATCAATCCCAGCATTCCTTTAGTGATATGGAACCTTGTGGTACAATGTCAGAGAGATCCATACACTAACACACAAGTTATGTCTGGAAGTTACAAAAATGCTTATTTTTGGCCCCTTTTTGGCCCCTAATTCCTTTACTGTTATTACCATAACCCCCAAAATCAATCCCAACCTTCCTTTTGTGGTATTGAACCTTGTGGTAAAATTTCATAAAGATCCATTCACTTAAACTAAAGTTAGAGTGCGAAAACCAATGTGTCTTCGGACGATGCCGGACGACGCGAAGACGACGACGACGACGACGACGCCAACGTCATACCAATATACGACCACAAAAATTTTTTTGCGGTCGTATAAAAAGTCTCTGTGCAGCAATATCCCACATGTTTTAATTTTTAACAAGTGACTGAGCCTAACCACTTGTATTAATTTGAAAAGCAGAGGACCAAAGAATAAAGATGTAAAAACTATTGAGTTATTAAATGTATGCAAAGAACTAAATTATCAAAGAAATTATTGCGGGCACAAAGGGATTTTTACATCAGGAAGCCTATTCACAAACGGCTGTTCAGGGTACCCGGTATGCTAAATTATGGAAAAATAAATCTCACTTTTGGACCACAAAAATTTAAGCACATAAATATAACATGCATCTCCATGATTATCATTACCTGTCAGAGATGGCTGACTGCCACCTTCTTCCTGAGGTCTACCTCCATCATTTTCAGTACCTATCAAACCTTACAAATTCTCTACTACTAAGGATGTCATTACCTGTCAGAGATGGCTGACTGCTACCTTCTTCCTGAGGTCTACCTCCATCATTTTCAGTACCTATCAAACCTTACAAATTCTCTACTACTAAGGATGTCATTACCTGCCAGAGAAGGCTGACTGCCACCTTCTTCCCGAGGTCTACCTCCTCCATTATCAGTATTATCTTCTTGTCCTGACATCAGGCTACTGCTGTTTTGTGGTTTGGCTCCCCCTCTGGATGTCCCGCTCTCACTCCCACCTGCTGTATTTAGGAGACTGCTGCTACCAGCAGGACGCTTTGATGATGAAGCGGAACGCCTACCACTAGTTTAAAGAAAATTGATAATTATTTTAAATTCTCAGTTTTAACAATGAAATTTATGTCTTATAATGGTGTTCAAAGGTAAACATGATTTTATTAATTTCATACAAATAGCAGCAAGCACCAAATATAGATTAAGTTTTTAGTTCTAATTTAAAAGAACTGTTGTACATGTATTGAAATTTAGTATTTACAAGAGTGAACAACAGGTTTATCTTACCTGCTACTAGCACACGATCCCGTTTTGCTTCTTCGAGTGCGCCGTAAGCTATCAAGCTCCGGCGACAAGGATTTAGAACTAGTACTACTAGAGCGTCTTTCCTTGCTTTTCCTCTTCTTCTTGTCACTTCTAGATTTCTTTGAAGGATGAGTACTTTGTGGGTTTTGAACACTAGTATGAGCAATATCCACCTGAATGTCTTGAGTTCCTTGGCTTGTGTCTACACTTTTCCCAACAACTTTTATTTTAATATCCTCTAAACTATTGAAACTGCTTTTCCTGTCCCGACTTCTAGTTCCAGACACTGACCTTGACCTTTCTGGATAATAAGGTATCCCTGGAACTACTTCTGCCTCTAAGTTTGATCTTAGATTTTTGGAAATTGTATATTTATTAGTATCAGAGTCTTTTTCCTCTGTTTGTTTTGTGTCTATGGTTTCAGCGTTCACAGCTACAGCTTGTAATTTAGATTTTTTATTTTTCTTCTTCCTAATTTTCTCTTTTTTATTTCTTAATTTCTCTTTCTTTGATGGTTTCAAACCTGTTCCTGACAATTTACTTTGTTTACTGGTAGTTGGACCTTCCTGTGAACTTGGTGCAAATCGCTTCTTTGATTTCTTCTTCTTGATTAAAACAGACTGTGAAATGCTGTAAAAAAAATCATTTTTTTAAAACTAAGAAGCTCTTAAATTTTTTATAATGTAAAACTTTATGTTTTCTAAATGTTATGAAATTCTTTGCTATGACTATATCTTGCTACAATTAAGGGTTGTTGTCAAATTACATTTAAAGAGGGGTAAGGTAAATGGACAATCTCTTGGATTTTTATAAATATTGTATAGACTAAAGTACATGAAACTTTTTGTAAACATAAACAAATATATTAACCAGAATATTAACCTATAGGAAAAGTAAACTTATGCATTCCCCGTTTACATTCACAATGTTATTACATATAAAAGGTTGCTAATGTCTATGTCATTTGATCTCTGGTGGATGGTTGTCTCATTAGTAATCATACTTTATCTCCTTATTTTTATATAGATAAATGTAGCCATTGAAGTTAAAAAAAAATAAACTGTTAACACAGAGATATGTCTTGCCTTTTTGTTATTTTGATAATGCAAATGTTGAAATTAAAATAGCAATACTTTAACATGTAGGTTATGCAAATATTCAAAGTCAATGAACCATGACTGAAGGTACAGGGCTGAACAATCTCCATGGAAATGAGATAAGCCAATACAAATACAAATCCATACCAAATACCATTGACTTATCATAAGTCATTCCATTTAAACAAACCTAAACACAAACATTAACTTGTAAACTATGTAAAAGTTTCAAAGTCAATGAACCATGATGAGGGGGTGGGGCAATAATTATAATCTCGATGGAAATGAGACTTGCAAATGCCTATACATTTGCATACCAAATATCATTGACTTAACATTCGTGGTTCATCTTTTGACTGATCTAATCACAAACTAATACATGTAAACTAAGCAAAAGTTTCGAAGTCAATAGACCATGACTGAGGGGTAAGGACCAAATATTCTCCACAAACATTTGTTGGTCACAGACTTCATAAAAAATAACTAAAAGAACCCTATTTTTTATGCCTATAAATTTCTACCAGGTTTTTTTTAATTTGCACTTTTGGTAGAAAATCACAACAAAATTGTGGGCCTCCAATGCAATATGCCATAGGCAAAAAAATAAGCAAAATGAAAAAGGATTTCTGTTTTTGTACCCTATTTTTCTTTAAGGAGCAAAACCTAAAACACACATACTTTTTTGTTGGCTTAAAATGATATCAGGGGGTCATATGGCTGAGTTCACTTGACTTTTAACAAACCTGAAATCTTACAATGATATCAGGGGTTCATATGGCTGAGTTCACTTGACTTTTAACAAACCCAAAATCTTACAATGATATCAGGGGTTCATATGGCTGAGGGTTCACTTGACTTTTAACAAACCTGAAATCTTACAATGATATCAGGGGTTCATATGGCTGAGTTCACTTGACTCTTAACAAACCTGAAATCTTACAATGATATCAGGGGTTCATATGGCTCAGTAATGTTCACTTGACTCTTAACAAACCTGAAATCTTACAATTTCATTGGTCATAAGAACTTTACCACATTCTAAAAATAGTACATCAAAGGTTCTGTCATATTCATAACGAATAAAAGGTATAAACAATTGTAAGTATTTTGTACACCAGTGACAAAGGTTGTCCTTAAGTATCATGTAATTAAATAATTGACAATGTATGACATGTGTGATGTTTACTGACTCACAAAATGCATGGTTATTCAGTATAAGGTGTTTTTTTTTTATTTCTTTATTCATATAGAACTATATCACACATTGACAATTAAAAAAGCTACAATATATGGTCAGCTATAAAGGGTTATTTTCAGACAATCTATTTTTACAACTTTTAACTAGCATATGTAAGAGATGAATTATTCCTGGTAAAATGTGTCCGGATGGAAATAAATTGCTAGTGTAAAAAGTCCATGGTTACAAAATTTACTAGTATTTTTAGTCCCATGTGACGTCAGTAATTAATAATCACAGATAAATTTTCATAGGTATTCATGTCCATGTCCTTGATATTCCTAGGTAAAAATGTCCACATCTCTTTTTCCTAGGAAAATTGTTTGTACTGAAATAAATCATGTGACGAAACTATGACAAACGAACTGCAAATTGTGCTCGTTTGATAAATATTGAAATTGAAATGCAGACTGACTGATTTTACTGGGGAAAATAATTATGATGATCAATTATGAGGTTGATAAATAATTAACGGATTAGTGACCCATCCCATGGCGATAAGCGGATTATCTGTAATCACAACTTATAACACCTGTTGTAAATGTTAATTAGCTGAGGGTCATAAACTTGACAGAAACAATAAGACAGGTAGAATTATAGTATTTTCATGCGAAAATGTTTTTACTCTTTCCAAATTTAAGTGACGAAATTGATAAGGAATACTTTCATCATTTGAAAACCGTTTCGTAAATGACGAAAATGACGAGCGCTAGCAAAATCACTGCACATGTAAGCAATGGAATGTATAAATGCTATGTTTCAATATTTGTTATCAGTTGTACATAAATCTTTCTTTATTTTTTTAAAGTATGGGTGATTTTAAAAGTAATTTCACTGGACTTTTTTCTTAGGACAATTGATATCACAGCCATTTAACACATATATAACTACACATTTTTGATTCTTTTTTTTAGTATCAAAATAATAATCATACAAATTAGAATTAATATTAAGGATGATCTTTTATAACTAAAATTATCTTTTTCATTATTCAAATATTTTATATTTTTACAATTTAGTTTTTTTTAGAAATTTTAAAATTTCCTAGGAATATAAGTGCCGGCCAGACATATTTTACTAGCTGTAGACTTATTTTCCTAGGAAAAGTTATCCTGGGACTTACTTTTCTAGTAAAATTATGGCCATGGACTTGATTACCTAGGAAAACAAAGTAAGGGGGAAAATTTATACTACTGTACAGAATTACTGTTACACATACAGTTCAGCCACCGCCAAATTTTTTTCTATTCTTTTCTAAAACTCTAAATTTTACACTTGCAAAACAAACGAGCTATTTGATACTGTCATATTTTGGTGGGTTAGACAGACTTTTTCAAAGGGTCTCACAAAACATGTTTAACCCTGCAGCATTTTTGCACCTGTCCCTAGTCAGGAACCTCTAGCCTTTGTTAGTCATATGTGTTTTTTTAATTATGGTTCATTTGTATATATTTTGGTGTTTAGTATGACATCCATTTCGCTGAACTAGTATGCATTGTTGTTTAGTGACCAGCAGAAGCCCTCCTCCAGGTACAGGATTTTCTCACTGCTTTTAAGACCCATTGGTGGTCTTAGGCGGTTTTGTGCTCTTTGGTCGGGTAGTTGTCTCTTTGACACATTCTATTTTTCAATTTGTGCACAAAAATAAACTACTATGGTATATGTATTCAAAATATCAATTTTATGAACAGTATACCAGTAAATACTATGTTCAGTGTTTTCCCTAGGCTGTTCAAGCATTGCGGTACCGCTACGCATAAATTTCGACCGCCATGCTTTCATCATTGCCGCAATGCATCCCGCTATGTGTGAAAATTATAACTGTGTAAAATATTTATTATCGATTTCGAAAGTGAAGTGACAAGTGACCACACTCCACATGTGTTTTAAACTCATCCCACTGATAATTGGATGCATCACGTCGCGCATGCCGGGATTTTACAACCTTCTTGATTAGTTGGTTATATATCGAGACTTCGGTTACATAATAGAAGTTGCCAGTTAGCTGATAAATAATTAGTCAGATTTATCTCCAATGCATATCTTTCTGTGCTAAATAAAAAGTTTAACCTTTTCCAGTATAAATTTCACCTTAAAACGGGTGTTTGACATCGTTATTTTACTGCGATCTTTAAAAAGTAGAAATTAAAAATTTGGTATAGTCTCTGGTATTATAAAATAAAACTAACGTAATTTCACCGAGAATGGACAAAACTTTTGTTATAATAAAGTTTCGCAGTTTTTTCATCAGCTATATTTACATCGATGAATTATTTTTTGATTGGTCACAACAATCAGTTATTTTTAGATTAGTCGCGGTTGATTGATTATATCAAAGAATACACATCACAGCCACCGGGCCGAGAAAAAGACGTGTTTTATGAAATATTTAAAAGATTTGATAGAAAAACTTTCAAAACATACGTAGATATTTACGGAAATATTGTTTTTAATAAACTTGTGTTGTTCTACTTTTATTTGAATGGGTCACATGAAGCTTAAGTGTAGCGGATTCATTTGCCGTTTTTTACACAAGTGGGGCTAAATTTCTTTCACTTCGGCAAGATAGGATTTTTACAATTATGAAGTGTTCTAAATAAATCGGACAGGGATGTATTTAAAAACAATAGTTACAAATTGTCATGAACTAAAATGTCTGCTTAGCTTCCAAACAATGTCATCCGTATGTCCGTTTGTCAGGTATTCTTTATTGACGACTTCTGTAATTAACGCAATAAACTTTGTTTTATTGTTTCCTGTAAAATCTCTGTGAAGCAATGATGACATTCAAAGTTTTATTTAACTTCTTGCTGTTCCAAGATGCTGAAACCATTCTATCAGCAAACTGAGGACACTGTTAGTGAAAAAATGTAAAGACATGACATTTAGGCAGACAATGAACAAAGTTGCCAGTCTTGGAACTTTGTATCCTTGTCTGTCTAAGTATGCAGTATTGAGTCTTCCATTGCCAGTTTCAACAGCTGATTGTGACAGGTGTTTTTCATGCTTAAACAGAGTTAAAACACCTTTGAGAAAAAGAATATGCCAAAAAAGTGCTGAATTGCTTAATGCATATATATATCAATTGAAGGACCAAAGGAGGAAGATTTTGATTTTGAAAAATGTGTGGTGACCTTTGGAAAGTTGAAACAGAGGAAGATATCAACAAAATAATGTGTAGGCCTACATGGCATTATTTTGTAAATAACTATTACAGACTGGATTATTTTTATTATTGTTTATTAAGTCTTTCTCTCATCTGTAATAAATACTTTAAAGTTCCATGACTTATATGAATTGCTGTACCTATAATAAAACAATTAGATTGGTATATATGGCTTTAAACATATAAATTATGTAGTGTTACTAATTCTGGAAAAAGAAGCGTCGCGCGCCGCGTTGCAAATTCACCATGGACCCGCCATGCATGAAAAATTTTCTAGGGAAGACACTGTATGTTAATAAAACAAACTATTTAAAGGTTTTGAGTAATGGTAAATTAAATTCATACGATTGAGCTTCTTAAGCCATATTCATATCATGTATAAACAGTCTAATCACTTATCTGGCTTATGGCTAGATAGTTTCTTTTTTTTTTTCCTGCAGTATAAAGTAGATTATCATTGTTTTTAAAATATTTAGATGCAGTTCCACATGTTTTAGTTCCATGCAGAACACAAATAACTAAGAAATCCATATAAACTGAAATGATCTTTCAATACCATGTAATGATTTTTGACAAAATTGAATAATGATAAAATCAAATATCAGAAATGCCATACATGAAACTAGCCATTTAACTATATAGAAGACATGCATGTACGAGAATAATAGGTCATCTCAAACTAGAACACAACATTTGGAAATTTAACTGATAACCCAGAACATTTGTTTTAAGATGTACTCAGATTAATGTACATACAGTAAACCAAATTATAATTAATTTGGAAAAGTTAACTACATTGCCAATCTTTCTATCAATCTTTTTGGATGATTATATCATAATTAAGTACAGAACTTAGAAACATGACAAAGAATAACATGAGAAAGTACAGAACTTAGAAACATGACAAAGAATAACATGAGAAAGTACAGAACTTAGAAACATGACAAAGAATAACATGAGAAAGTACAGAACTTAGAAACATGACAAAGAATAACATGAGAAAGTACAGAACTTAGAAACATGACAAAGAATAACATGAGAAAGTACAGAACTTAGAAACATGACAAAGAATAACATGAGAAAGTAAAATTTTGATATATGTACTTACTTATTGGTTTGGCCTACTTCAACTTTTGAATCTGCCCCAGAATGGTGTCTTCTTCTATGTGACCCCCCAGACTGGAACTCAGGTTGGTCTGCCATAGGCTTGACCCTCAATCTGGCACATGCCAGATGGTAAAAACTCTGCAATGGTGAAAAATTATTCATTATATATATGTTAATGCAGTTTAATCTTTTTTACACAATTTGTGTAAATTAAATAAAATTCATCTGTGTATTTAAAGTTTCGATACTATTAACTATAACTTTTAAAATGTTCTGTTTAAGGTGGATGGGGGTCTTAATTAAAATCCATAGATTTTTTTAATAAATTGTCAAAATGAAGTTTTTATCATGCTTTTTTTCAAAACTATAATAATAAAATGCTTCGCTGGGGCGCAGCTTGATACGACCGCAGAGGTCGAACCCTGAACAGTTGGGGCAAGTATGGACACAACATTCAAGCTTGATACAGCTCTGAATTTGGATTGTTATTAAATATTTGACACAGCATAGGTTTCTGACACAGAAAGAATGTGGTCTAAGAACTTGAATTTTTTTAAATTACCTATTATGGTCCAATGTCCAAAATCAAAATACATGGTTAGATTCAGCATATCAAAGAACCCCATATATTCAATTTTTGTTAAAATCAAACAAAGTTTAATTTTGGACCCCAACTTGGACAAACTTGAAAACTGGGCCCATAATCAAAAATCTAAACACATGTTTAGATTCAGCATATCAAAGAACCCCAAGAATTCAATTTTTGCTAAAATCAAACTAAGTTTAATTTTGGACCCTTTGGACCTTAATGTAAACCAATTAAAAAACGGGACTTAAAATTAAAAATCTAAATACACGGTTAGATTTGGAATATCAAAGAACCCCAATAATTCAATTTTTGATGAAATCAAACAAAAAGTTTAATTTTGGACCCTTTTGACCTCAATATGAACCAATTTGATAGAGGGGCCCACAAATAAAAAATCTAAATGCATGGTTAGATTCAGCATATCAAAGAACCCCATATATTCAATTTTTGTTGAAATAAAAAAAAGTTTAATTTTGGACCCCAACTTGGACTAACTTGAAAACTGGGCCCATAATCAATAAAATGCTTCGCTGGGGCGCAGCTTGATACGACCGCAGAGGTCGAACCCTGAACAGTTGGGGCAAGTATGGACACAAAATTCAAGCTTGATACAGCTATGACTTTGGATTGTCATTAAATATTTGACACAGCATAGGTTTCTGACACAGGATGAATGTGGTGTAAGAACTGGAAAAAATTTAATTTACCTATTATGGTGGAATAGCCATAAACTAAATTGTTTGTTAATTTCAATATATCAAAGAATATGTAGAATTCAATGTTTGATGTAATGTAATAAAGTTGAAATTTGGACCGTTTTTGTTCAATGTGGACCAATTTGGTAACATGTATAAATAATCAAAAATCTAAATACATGGGAGCCCATTTAAATACATCATAAAGGTATTAAAATAGAAAGTGACATCATAGTCATAGCTAAAAATAAACAAAAATCCTTAATCAGCAACATTTAAAGTAATATCTAAAAATAAAATTCCTTTGTAACCATAAAAGCCCATTTAAATACATCATAAAGATATTAAAATAGAAAATGACATCATAGTCATGGCTAAACATAGCAAAAAACCCTTAATCAGCATCATTTAACAGTAATATCTAAAAATGGAAATTACATCATAAAGGTATTAAAATAGAAAATGACATCATAGTCATGGCTTAAAATAAACAAAATCCTTAATCAGCATCAGCAACATTTTATAGTAATATCTAAAAATAAAATTCCTTTGTAACCATAAAAGCCCATTTAAATACATCATAACAGATATTAAAATAGAAAATGACATCATAGTCATGGCTAAACATAGCAAAAACCTTAATCAGCATCATTTAACAGTAATATCTAAAAATAAAAATTTCTTTGCAACCATAAAAGTAAAATAGAAAATGACATCATAATCATAGCTAAAAATAAACAAAAATTTTTTTATTGGCAAATTTTAAATGGAGTTTATTATACTAAAACAATAAATTTGCAACCATAAACATGATAAAACCCCATTTAAACACATCATAAAAGTATTAAATAATTCAACTACATCATAAGGCTATAAAAATAGAAAATGACTTCATAGTCAAGGCTAAAGGTAAACAAAAAACCTTCATCAGCAAAATTTTATATTGGCAAATTTCCAATGAAGTTTATTACACTAAAATTGTTGGCAAATTTCCAATGCATTTATTAACAATAAAGTTATTGGCAAATTTCCAATTTACATAATTTAAAAGCAGTGTAGATGAGATATTTAAATGAGTTTGAATTACCAACCTTACACTGCTTTTAAATAATGTTCTTTACTCAATTATTTGTCTATTAAAATGGAAACCCTTGTTTTTTAACCTTTTTTCCCCTTATTCCTTAAACATTAGAGCCATAACCCCCCCCCCCCCCCCCAAAGCCAATTATTACTTTCCAATGTAACCTAAATTTCCAATATACATAATTTTAAATTTCAATTCCTCATGATATATAACCGTATCATTATTATTTTCTTTCATATATAAATCTGAAACAACCATCTTTAAATGGAAAATTTTAAAGAAAAAAAAAGGAAAAAAAAAAATCCTACCTCCCACACATTTTTTCAACCCCCTTTTGATTCATCATCCCCCACCTCAATCACAACCTTCAATTTGTGGTATGGTACATTGCAATACAATTTCACAGAGATCCATACACTTGAACACAAGTTTTTGTTGCAAACTAAAAAAATCCTTATTTTTGACCAATATTTGGCCCCTTATTCATAAATGTTTGAGCAATTAACCCCAAAACTCAATTCCTACTTTCTCTTCGTGATAAAAAATAACTAACTTAAAATGTAAATTTTAAACAAAAAAAAAAGGAAAAAAAAAATTACCCCTTTTTTGACCCCCGCCCCCTTATGATTCATCACCCCCACCCCCCTTTCCCCCCAAACCAAGCTCAATAACAGCCTTGCCTTTGTGGTATGGTACCTTGTAATACAATTTTAGAGAGATCCATACACTTGAACACAAGTTATTGTCTAGAAACTAAAAAATGCTTATTTTAAACCCCTTTTTAGGCCCCTTATTACTAAACGTTTTGGGCAATTACCACAACACTCAATTCCAGCTTTCCCTTTGTGAAATGGAACCTTGTAGTAAAATTTCAGAAAGATCCATACACTTACACACAAGTTATTATCATGAAACTAGAAAAATGCTTGTTTTTTGCCCCCTTTTGGCCCCTTATTCCTAAAATTTTGAGGCAATTAACCCCAAATCAATCCCAGCATTGACCCTTTGTGATATGGAATCTTGTGGTACAATGTCAAAGAGATCCATATGCTAACACACAAGTTATGTCTGGAAGTTACAAAAATGCTTATTTTCGGCCCCTTTTTGGCCCCTAATTCCTTAACTGTTGGTACCATAACCCCCAAAATCAATCCCCACCTTCCTATTGTGGTATTGAACCATATGGTAAAATTTCATAGAGATCCATTCACTTAAACTAAAGTTAGAGTGCGAAAACCAATGTGTATTCGGACGACGACGCCGGACGACGCCAACGTCATACCAATATACGACCTCAAAATTTTTTTGCGGTCGTATAAAAATCTAAACACATGTTTAGATTCAGCATATCAAAGAACCCCAAGAATTCAAATTTAAAAAACGGGACCCAAATTAATAAACTGCTTCGCTGAGCGCAGCTGGATACGCCCGCAGAGGTCCAACCCTGAACAGTTGGGGCAAAAATGGACACAATATTCAAGCTTGATACAGGTCTGAATTTGGATTGTAATTAAATATTTGACATGACCTACATCTATTATAGGTTTCTGAATAAATGTAGTCAAAGAACTTGAAGTTGGTTATATGAATTGAATTTATATTCAATTAAAGATTTCTTGCTGTTGTGCAATACACTGCTGTTGCGTTATACTTAGTAAATCTGTTGTCAGACTATAAACAAATAAAATTTATAAAATTCTAAAGGGAGCTTACATCAATAGATATAAACAGTTTACCAAAGTTTCATACAAATTGCTGAAAGCATTTTTGAGTTTTTGTCTGAAAACTGGAAAATCCCCCCTTTTTTAATGAATAAACCCCATAATTCGGAAATGTAAAATCTAAAATTTATAAAATTCTAAAGGGAGCTTACATCAATAGATATCAACAATTCATCAAAGTTTCATGAGAACTGCTGAAAGCATTTTTGAGTTATTGTCCGAAAACTGGAAAATCCCCCCTTTTTTTATGAATAAAACCCCATAACTCGGAAACGTAAAATCTAAAATTTATAAAAAACCAAAGGGAGCTCATGTCAATAGATATAAACAATTAACCAAAATTTCTTGCAAGTGGGTGAAAGCATTCTTGAGTTATTGTCCAAAAACTGGAAAATCCCCCTCTTTTTAATGAATAAAACCCCATAACTCGGAAACGTAAAATCTAAAACTTATAAAAAACGAAAGGGAGCTCACGTCAATAGATATAAACAATTCCTCAAAGTTTTAAGCAAATTGGTTAAAGCGTTTTTGAGTTAATGTCCGACATGTTGACGACGGACGGACGGACAGACAGACGGACGTACAACGGTATACCATAATACGTCCCGTAAACAGGCGTATAAAAATCTAAATACACGGTTAGATTTGGCATATCAAAGAACCCCAATAATTCAATTTTTGATGAAATCAAACAAAGTTTAATTTTGGACCCTTTTGACCTCAATATGAACCAATTTGATAGCGGGCCTACAAATAAAAAATCTAAATACATGGTTAGATTCAGCATATCAAAGAACCTCATATATTCAATTTTTGTTGAAATCAAACAAAGTTTAATTTTGGACCCCAATTTGGACCAACTTGAAAACTGGGCCCATAATCAAAAATCTAAATACATGTTTAGATTCAGCATATCAAAGAACCCCATATATTCAATTTTTGTTGAAATCAAACAAAGTTTAATTTTGGACCCCGATTTGGACCAACTTGAAAACTGGGCCCATAATCAAAAATCTAAATACATGTTTAGATTCAGCATATCAAAGAAC